GCTGTGGGTACAAAAGATCTTCTATATCTCTCCATCCTGCAGTGAAGAGAGAGGAGCCGTTGTCCACCATCTGTTTTTAATGTTATGATTATATTAATACCATTAGACCAAAGTCTATTGAAGTAAACTCATAATCATAGTATTGTGTTTATTGCAGTTGTGTGCTTTTAAGCTTTGCTTTTCATTCAGGGGGAATATAAAGCCACTTCAGATGGACTGTTAACTACAACCTTTTTGTGAATGTGCCTGACTTAAGAAATGGAAAGGGTATATGGAGAGTTAGATGATCGTAGATGCATCAAAAATCACTTCAGATATCCTCTTCAAGCATAGAAGCACATATGAGAAAAATTTCCTCAATACTTTAGCATGTTGCATTTTTTTCTTTCTTGTCCATTACTTAAATCATGTCATATATTTGCTTCATGCAGTTTTTTTAATTGGCAATTGTATCACATTTCACTTAAATTTACAACAATAAAAGTAAACAGGGAAATGTGAATGTGAAAGTGTGTCCACTGAACGTCATCTCCTCGCATTTAGAAGCTATTCTTAATTATCTCACCTCCTTAAAGGGTTAGTTGAATATTTTGGCAAATTTGCTTATTGCATTAATCCCTATAGTCATATAAGCAGGTACATTCCCTTTAATTATCAGTGCCTGGTTTTTTGAGAGCCGCGAGGCAGAGATGCGCACTGCTTTGTGAACACAACTTGTCCATAAGAGCATTTTGGAATTGTAGGATTGTGTATTTGATTAGTTTTGAGGGACGGAGCGACCTGTACCGTCCACCTCCATTGTGTTCACTGAGCAGCGCATGTCTCTGCCTCACAGCTCTCAAAACAACAGGCACTGGGAACATACCTACTCATATGACTATAGGGATTATTGCAATAGGCAAATTTGCCAAAATGTTGAACTATCCCTTTTAAGTAATCCATAGAGTTAGTTACGTAATTATGTTGTCATTTGATTGAGTATTTAACCTATTTCTACATTTCTTAATTTTCAGACTATACACTTGGATGAGGATCATACTTATCCAGGTACCTCTGGATGTCTTGACGTCAAGAGCTCCTGTTACAGGTGTGTTTTGTCTTATGTGTAATTATATATATAGAGTGGTGGACAAAATATCAGAAACGCAATATTATTGAGGGGTAAACACATTTCTCTCCTGACAAAGATTAGATGTTGTTGAGCTTAAGTTGGAACAGTGGGTCAACCATTTGATTGGGCAAATTTGTGCTAATCTACTGCGTGTTTATGCATTTATGTGTGTTTATATTTATATTGTGTGCACATAATGTCTTCATTTTGCAGAAACTACACCAACCTCTTTTCACCTATCGTCATTGATGATGATGAGGATGAAGTTCTCATTCCTGAGGAAACAAATGACATGCCCTCAGAAGAATCTGAGTGAGTCATATAGACATAAGCAGAAAATTAACCAGCTCTCTATTCTGTCCAAAATTAAATTATACAAAAGTGAGAAGTCACTAAAATGACAATCTGACTTTCTCTGTCTGTAACTGCTTGGATCAGGTCCAGTTGTTGAGATGTGTGTTTGAAGAGAGTCCATTGGAATTAAGCTAATAAGAATAAAAAGTTGCTCATTGTTTTAGAGACTGACTCATCAGTGTCTCTCGTGTCAATGAAGTGTCAGGATATAGTTTATGAATATGGAATGAAAGATTTTTGTTTAGTAAAGTAGCTACTATGCTTTGAGTATATTTTTAAAGTCTAAAGTAAGTTTCTCACTTTTCTTTAGACCCACAAGTGTGCAGGCACCTGAAATAATTGCAAATTTGGCACTTGCAATTGACCACAAGAAAGTCAGCAGGTTCAATATATCGAGATCTGACGTATGGGATGGAGCTGTCAGAGGATTTCGACGCAGCTCATACTCCGAAAACAGCGACATCTTCGTTAAGTTTACCGACGATGCAGGGTCCTTTGAAGAAGGGTTGGACAC